TAAAGGTATTGTGAGCACTGAGCTCATTGAATGAGACCCCCGCCTTTCATGTGATTATAAAAAAAAAGAATGCAGGCTATAGGAACCTTAATTCATATTTGTTGTTCATCACAGAGAATATAAATTGATAATATTTCCATATTTCATATGGAAAAGAACATATTTTGATCTTGGAAACCTGACATGTGTCCGACCAAAAAGAAAAAAAAGGAGGTAACAAAGAATCTGAAAAAAGTATCATTAAATCTTATTCAATGGTATAAGAGGAGTTGCGGAAAAGAGTTTGGTACCCTTCAATATTATAGAAAGAATGGCAGGTCAATATTTCGCTATGGGAAACCCGAAATATGTATCCGTTCAAAAAATAAAACAACTTGGAGCAAATTTTTGTCGAACGTAGAAAAACTATAAAAGATAAGTTGACCAAGCAAGATCGGACGATTGATTTATTTATTCGAAAGATTTGCTTGAAATCCATAATTATGGGATTGCATACATGTAACAAACGTATGCATAAGAATTAATAATCAGTTAGCATGCTAAACCAATAGTGTTTCCCAGATTGTTATATACACCTATAAACTCATATCATGTCTCTGGTTTGATAAAATGTCTTTATAGTATTGTTAACCATTTTCATTTTTCATCAAATAAACTGCAACAAATAAAATGAGCTGAATTTCACTATCATTTTCATATTTATTTCTGTTTTCCGAGTCTTTTAATCAGATACTTTGACATTTCATTGTGTTGGACGAATCATCATCCTTGTTGATTTAAGAGCAGTTTTATCTCTAAAGGTTCTCCATACTATGGCCACAAAAGTTTTCATAGCGGATGTACGAAATGGTCCGTTTAGATTTGAATAGTAACCGTTGTGATACCACCATCCTCCCCGATAAGTTTTAGCACTGTTTCCTTTGTCATCTTTGTCCTTCGTAGCAAAGACATGACCATTGTGAAATTTCATACCGTCTCCTTTGAATATCAATGAAAATATATTATCATATCAAACATATACTGTGAAATCACTTATTTTCGTAGATTTAATTTCAGTGGTTTTCGAAGTATGAAGAGACCCACGAGCTTATGTGCACCATGGAATGTAATTTTCACAGATATTACTATTCAACAATTCTTCAACCACAAAATTAAATCCCCATGAATCCATATCATTTTCATCAACCGCAAAAATTTCACCCAACAAAAATATGATTTTAAAGTATATCCTTGTCAAGAAAAAACTTAATTTTTATGACAATGTCGATTAATTATACGGCATCTTGGGCCGAAACCCATGTTCTTATACTAAATGCTTTTCATCAAATATAAAATTACTCACCTGTATTGCCACTATATGCACTGACTGTCAGCTTGTACTTGTCCCTCTCACTGGCAATTACAAACTTAGAATATCTAGCATATGCTTTAGAACCTGAAAAGTCTTCAAGGTCTATCCGTAGTTCCTCTGCTGCTAGTGACGTCAGTGAGTGAATTGCTTCATTTCCTTAGATAAGTTGCAAAAGATTGTTCACAGAATATATTACATTTACCAGTTCGTGATTTTAAAAAAAAGTTTATTTGTCCATTTTGGATCCTTATATTGATTTTTTTCCTTAAAATCGGGATATTATTTTTTCAAATTTAAGTATAAACATATAGGAGCATTTTGTTTCTACCACCGACCCCCTGTGCTCAGTAGAAAACTTACCTAACCAGTAATCTGTCTCTGCTCTTCCGAATCCTCTCTTGTATTCCGCCCACGATCGATAAAAATCAGTGATGCCATATTTTCGTCGTTGAATGACCTGAATTTTTAACGGAGTAAATTATATACTTTAAATTCTTTGATATTGATAATAACTTTAAGGATAATCATATCAATTGAATAGATAATTTTGGTAGTGTCTGCCTTCCGCAAAAGGCAATTTTTTTCACAATATTATATGACCACTTCTTTTTTAATTGCTGTAATAAGGTACATGTTTTACTTATTTAGGCAGAGGGTGTTAAACGATCAATCCAACTAACGGCACAATCATTCAAAGTTTTAATGCTTTGTTTATAGTAAAAATACACAACATTTTGTTTAAAATAGATAACATCAATAAGAATACCGTCCAGCCCCCTCCTTCTGTCGTCATGTCACAGAATACTCGCTTCTCTGTCCTGCCGTCAGGGTATATAGTATATACTCCGTCTTTTCCTTGTACTTCTGGAGTTCTCTTCATAATAGCAGCACAATCACGGAATTGAAAGTGACCTGTAACGTTATGTATTTATTTATTTTAATCAAAACTATCAGTGTCAGGTCGCATTCTCTTCTTTCTTTTTTATGTAAGTAATATTTATATCAATTTGTGAGTATCTCTAATCAAACTTGCACTCCTGATTTGGAGAGCAGATTTATTCTTAATCAAGCGGAATAGATATAATCTATGATTTTACTTACTAGTGTTAAAGATCTTTTCAATTCCAACTGAGTCTGCCCTTAATTTGTAACTGGACACAACGTCCACCCCGATTATAAGCGGGGTTTTCACTTTATATGATGTTTTCTCATGGCGCCATTTCCACGGAAGTTTTCTTAAAGATTCTTTTACATGACCTTATTTAGAAAATTTAACTTTAGTTTTATCAGAGAACATACACAAGAACATCCTGAATATAAAAACAAAATTTTCAAATGCTAAGAAAGTATGAATATACGATTGTTAAGTGGTAATATACAAACTTTTCGCAGAATATCATAAAAAAAACTTCAGATTCTTTAGCAGTATAAAACAACTGTTTTTCTTCTTTTAAAATGTACCAGTTCCATCAACAAATACAAACATTTTTTTAATATTAATATCTTTTGAATTATTGTACCATGCATGTAATTTACAACTTCGATTTACATTTTATTTATCAATTTCAGCATTCAAAGACCTTAATTAATGCAAGAATGTCAGTTTATTCATCAGACATTTTGATTTACCTTTAATCAACAAATGAGTCCGAGGAACCCGGGAATCCACGAAGGACAAAATGAACAAGCTCACAATGAGATGCAATGGAGACATACTAGAGTCTTGAAAATAACTCTGCAACATAAAGATCCTATCTGTCCAAGTATATAAAGGACTTTTCAAACTCGGTTTAATCAATATAACTATTAAATTGAAACCTAATGCATTCGCGTGTAAAATAGGGAAAATGTCTAGAGTAAAAAGTGTCTCAGATGTTGTACAACTGCATTTATTTATTGGTCTATAATATAATGTGTCCACTTTGTGTGTGTTTAATTTTCTATGCGTTTTCTCGTTTACAACATGTGCCTGATATAGACCCAGAATTTACCAATAATACTTTGGATGGAATTCTCCGACATTTTTTTAAATAAAAATGTTAGAGTACCTGAATCATCGGGGGGCTTGTTTTTATTTTTGCCGTCCTTCATTATAAAGCTTTAATTTTGAAGATTTTCCGCTTTTGTTCTGAAACTGCTCAACTTACGATATTTAAGAGGTCCATGTTTGTTCTTCTCCTGATTTGCACTGTTTGAATGGACTTCTGAACGTGAATACTTTTCGTGATCTCCATAGATTTCATCTTTTGAAAAAAGTTGGCTTGGTGGGTTAAATTTACCAGAATATTACCTGATTGATATCATGCAATCTACTCAAGGGTTCTTATAAATTCTATATGATAGCCAGGAACCTTGCGTATGTCCTTCACAATAAACAAACAATGTACGTTCTGTAAAATGCGACTGGGGTTAAAAGATCGCGTTAATAGTCAATATTTTAATGAAATACGAAATAATATCATACAACTATTGCCTGAGTGGGAGACTATCGTACATTCTGGCCGTATTTTGCTACGATGGTAGCTCGGGAAGGTAGAGTTACTACCTGCTGTTTACTTTTTAGGTTGACGCCGTCTCTTGATTATTGTATGTTTTTATACAAATCAAATGAAAGGTTTTTCTTCCTGTATAAATAGCATAGATTAAATGAGTTAAAGTAACATTTCAATGATATCGGTATTACTTCTACAAGATGATTTACCTGGCGTTAAAATGGATCTTTTGGATCTCCTATACAGTAATGTCTGACAGTAAGTTAACTGTTAATTACACTCATTTCAATGTATCAATGATGATAATTTCTTTATTAGGGTGTTATCTTTTTGTTCAGTATTGTGCATGTCAAGCGGGAGTTCGATAACTTTGTAATTTTACTTAAGGAATAACTGTCTTATTTTTCGATTTCATAATGTGATCAATCGATTGGGTTGCGTGATAATTTGCATAAACACCGAAGGCGTTTATGCATAAAATTATCAAGCAAGCCAATCGATTGATCATCGTCATGAAATTGAAAAATCTGACAGTTATTCCTTATATTTACATGCTTTGATTCCGCCAATCCACATGCTCCAAGCCCTGATTCTGTCTAGTTGTTTGTTCCGCCCTGCACATGGTTGTTTTGTTTTTTTTTTATTTGGAACCGCGCCAATACATTGATGGGGAAATAAAGTACATTTACAATTTGTAATTTTATCTCGGACAAAGACATTGGAAATGTAAATATATGCATATAAAGAAAGATATACATTTAGACAAATCCATGATTTCAATTCATCTAAAACATGAAAGAGTTTCACATTATTCAAAAAATAGCATTATGTAGATTTTTTTTCTAAATTTGTGAATTGTTTATATCGTTCTTGAAGTATTGGTGATCATGGTTATTTTCTGTCACTCCTTGAATAATTTTGAAGACAATCTGTCTATTGAATGTGTTTGATTAGTAAATTTAAATGGACATTTTATTAAGCAATTGGTATGGCACGCCAAATTCACAAAAATGAGCTAATCATAGTTTCACAGTCTATAAACTAGGTTTATCGGTTGTAAACTATAGTTTACGAACTGTAAACTACAGTTAACAACGTTGATCTATATTTTACATCTGTAAACCATAGTTAACGCGATAATCTATGTTTCACAACCGTAATTTATACTTAACACTGAAAATAATCACTTGCGATTGCAAAACATAGATTATCGGATAAATACAGTTTCACGATTTGTAAACTAGGGTTTACAACTCTTAACTTTAGTTAACGATCTAATAAATATAGTTTCACGATTTGTGAAACTATGATTAACAACCCTTAACTATAGTTTACGATTGTAAATTATAGTTTATACAGACGTGAATCTATGTTTATCAACAAAATCTATTGTTAATGTTTTATTACAGACAGATAAACTTAGATTGGCATTCGTAAACTATAGTCAACAGCCGTTAAATATAGTTTTACAGATGAAAACTATAGTTAACGAATTGTTAACTATAGTTCACGGTTTGTAAACTATAGTTTACAGTCGATAAACATAGTTTATCAACTGTGAAACTATGTTTAGCTCATTTTTGTGAATTTGGCGTGCCATAAATTGGCACAGTTTTGAAAATTCTAAAGAATTTCAATTTTATACGAGCAAAACTAGTATCAACATCATATATTAATTCCTTTTCTTGTGGCTGTTGAAAAAAATTAGCTTTATGATTTAGATTCCATAATACATGCATGTAGTATAGTAATAGCTAATCTAAAAGTGTTGCGCATTAGTTTCTTCTTCTTATGTATTATATATTATCTGTTGGAAATATACATATTTTTGATGACTTATTATACCGAGTATATTAAATAAGAGGATAACTTTAAGTTTTAGCGCTGACATCCCTACATGGGAGATTCTTTATTCTTGCACACGTCGAAATAATCGCTACGCCCAATATAAAGTCTCATTACATTAAAAATATTTTGTACAGGAATCAGTATATCTAAAGAAAGATGACACTTTTAAGACTGCAATTCAGTTAACTTCGAAGTTTGAATCTGGTTTACTACCTTGCTCATCAGAACATATACATGTATATATACAGGGTGTTTCATAATATATGTTACATTTTGAGATCTAATTATTTTTCTTACCTGTCATGTTTCTATTACAAACTTTATATCATTTTAAACATTGAATCCTGCATTTTTGTTCGATGTGAAAAAGTAAAGGAAATCATGGTCTTGAAATGATTCAATGTGATATAAACGTTGATGTCATAATTTGGATATTTCTCGAGATGGACTTGACTAATCCACTCAGTGCTGAATTGTAAGAATTGTAAAGCTGTTTTTATTTTCAGATTATGTCGCTAATATTCATTCTATTCATTTACTAGTTCATGAAATAAATTTTCCAAAATAAAATAGAAGCTTTCTAGGATGCTTATCAGAAGGGTAGTAACAAGGTTAAAGGACAGGGACGGACAGTATGCGATAAATGACAGTATTTCAGAAAGCCAGAAGTCATTAAGAAGCGGAGATGTTATTGGTGAAGTCGAGACTCTTAGTGTAGCGAACTTCTGAGAGAAGTGTCTGATAGATATTTTCAGAAAATATATATATATATATATATATATATATATATATATATATATATATATATATATATATATATATATATATATATATATATATATATATATATATTGACTTCACCCGAGCATACCCGATAGACCGGACGCATTTCATAGCGGTCCGGATTCTTTCTTTAATAGTGTTCTTAAAAATTTCCAAATCAATATGTAACTAAGTATGTAAATATATAGTGTTTAGTAGTTTAGTAGTAGTGCTAGTTGTTTTTTGTTTCGCTTTTTCCTTTGTTCTTATGACTTTTTAACTCTTTTCTTTGTCCTGAGGAAGGGACAGGGCGTCCCGAAAATTTGACAATTTTTATTGTTCGTGTCGTTGGTCATTTTTAGTGCTTTTTATAAATTTCCATCCGTGACCTTGTATCTACTTGATAGATCCGACATTTAGGATATACAGTGTTGTTGGTTTTTTTAGTGCTTTATATATATATATATATATATATATATATATATATCTGAACTACTTCGTTTACAAACATGAACCCTTTTATTCCTTGCAATTACCAATGGGAGGAAAGGATATCTTTCCTCTTAAAACTCTCATAATTTTGACAAGTGCATTATGCGCATTTGCACTTAAAAAATAAAAGCCGTTTTTAAAAAATCAATGAAAGATAAACTGCAGACAAAGTCTTCCCTTTTACCTTAACCATGAAATTAAAGCAGTATAAGTATCCATTACATTGCAGCTATCCCATCCTCACCTCCGAGACTATATTCATATTTGGGCATGACAATAAATTCCTACACTGACAATTTTGTCAGGCATGTCTATGAGGGCGGTTTAATGAAATTCCGGTGTTATGTTAACCTCTTGGCAGAACCTCCGATCACATGGACATGGTATTGTGGGGAAGAACAGATGACCAATGTAACATTTTCAGGCTCATATACTTACATGAATTTTACGGCGACCAGGAATCATGACGGAAAATCTTGCTATTGCAGAGCGAAATCACACTCAACTGTTTTATTTTATGACTACCCATCTAGTTCTCGTTATGTGGTGCGTGTTTATTGTAAGTATGCGTTTAAGTCATATTACTGTTAATTACTTAATTATACCTACACATATACCCCCACACCCCCAATGTCAACTACAAACAAGAAATAATATAAATTTATATAAATTAGTCCTTTATTTAAATTTATAAATAATTATCATTCTTACTTTATCTTTAACAAATCCTGAATATAAATTTTTTGAAGTTTATTTTTGCCAGAGCCTGGTTAATTAGTCCCCAAACTCATGAAAAAAGATGACATTGGCTTTTTCTTTATAAATATGCTTCATGAATGTTAAAAAAAAATAAAGTTAAAGTTACAAAAAATCCATTTGAAATTAGCCCAAATATATCTATTTTATTTTTTACACAAAACTTTAAATGCATTGAAAAAAAATCTTCCTGTTTTAAATAGAAATCAAGGAAGAACCTTAAAAATTATATTTTTACTTTTTAAAGATGTTGCATGCATTAAAAAAGACCATACTGGCAATATTTTTTTTTAATTTTTCATTTTATTTAATTTTATTATTATTATTTTTGCCAATACTTATCATTAAAATTATGCTTATGTACACAGAGAGATTCATTGAGTAAAACTTTAAGTGGATGTGGAGCTTTGTTTAAAAATTAGGATGTATAAGTTCACATAAAAGTCATAAATTGTTTTAATCACTGTGTATGGAGCATTTTGGTGACTAAATGTTGACTTTTGTAAGATTCACTTCGGACACGACCAAGGATCTATCCTGTGTCACCTACAACTGTAGGGAGCGGTGAGTACATTACCATCAAGTGTAATCTCACAACACTTGGATATCCACCAATATCATGGAGATGGATTTGTGACGATCTACCTCCCCTGAATGGAGTGGACTTAGGAACGGAGACTTACTTAGAAATCAAAGTAACTGCTCGACACAATGGGATGGCTTGCAGATGTAGAGGAATATCCTCCTCTATCTATGTCTACGACAAACTTTCAGATCCAGTGACAATCACCGTTTACTGTAAGAATTATAGAAATTATATAATTCATAATTTGTGCGTCTTTTAAAGTGATTTAAGTTTACAATATGGCTATGATGTATCTTACAAATGATTTTTTGAATCAGTATCTTTTATTTGGTCAAATATTTAATATATATCATGCAAAAATGAAATGCTACTTTTCCAAGTCAACTTAAATATTCTAGTTGCATTAAAATATTTTTTGCATCAAATTCCTAAGCTAAATCCCAGAAAAAATCCCAAGAAATAACAGCTGCAGCAGGATTTGTTGAAGACCCTCAATGTATACCAGCTACAGCTTTTGGAACAACTACCGGGTTACTTTCGGCCATTATCATTGCTCTGAGCTCCGTCCTCCTCATACAGTGTATTAGAAGAAGAAAAGGAAACGTTTGCTCTTGTGGACATATTGGTGAGCCATTCAATACAGGCTGAAAGGAAAAGGAAATTGAAAAAAACGTCATTAAAGATCATACAATAATATTAAAGATAACGAGATTCACTTTGTGCGGTAACCAGTGAATCATAAAAGCTACATTTTATTTTATGCCCCCGGATCGAGAGATCCCAGTGGTGTATTGTTTTTGTCCTGTCTGTCCGTTTGTCTCTTTATCTGTTTGTCAATTTGTCTCTCTGTCTGTCTGTTGACAACTTTAATCTAGCCATTAACTACTAATTGATGGGACTATAGCTTTCATTTTCACAGGTGTATTCCTTGAGACAAGACCTTTCTTTGGGTACAACCAAATTTGACCACTTGACCTTGGAGTTTGACCTACTTTTACAAAAAATACAACACTCTATCCTAGGCCATAACTTTTGAACAGTAGAAGCTAGGGCTTTTATACTTCACGTGTGTATTCATTGTCACAAGATCTTTCAGCTGGTGTAAATATTTTTGACTTTGACCTAAGAGTTTGACCCACTGTTTAAAAATTTTTAACATTCTGATCTTTGGAAAATTGAAATGCATTTGAGAGAATTCAACCCTCACCATAAGTTGCCATGAGGGCATCAGTGTTTCACGAACACATCGTATTATACACATGTACTTCAACTATATTTGTACATTGTAATTTAATTTATATGCTATTTTTATGTTTCAGAAAAAAACGAAGAGGAAAGAGCAAGGTATAAACTTTAAAAAAAATATTTGCCTTTATTTATTTCAGCAGTATCTTTAGATGAAATTTATCATTTTGAAAAATATCGTTTTGAATTCTTTTTTTATAATCTTCGTCATTTATAACAGTAGCAATAAAGATCTCCAGAACCCTATTTATACTAATGAAGAATCCTACGAAATACTTCAGGTAAACAAAGGTGGGTAAATCGTTCGAGAATGTGTAGAATTAATCTACTGGGTATTTAATACTAACAAATTAAATTTAAACATGGTATAAATAAAAGTTTTTAGCTACATGTATATAAGGATACAGGTTTTTCTATGAAATATACTTTTAGCTCTACTTGGGCATTGAATTCGTAGAAAAAATTCTATTTATTACAATGCGTGGAGACACTAAGTACTTTGACGATTTTCTATTTCAGACAGTTTACATATATAAATCAATGGTTAGACAAATCGCAAAGCGGCACTTCAAAATGATTGGAATTGGATTTATGGTACTGAACACCAAGTCTATTTGTTATACCAATACATCCTAAAAGACAATGATTTTATCCTGTTTATGTAATCTGCTTTATCTTGCTTTTCATTTTCATTGCTCTCAAATATTATCAGGTTTATATAGTTCAAAATGGACAAAAGAGGATTTTTCAAAATTCAAAACATGTACAGGCTAACTCAACATTAAGCTTCTCTATAGTATGAAACTTCAGTTATAGTTTAACTATAAACGTTCTAAAATTACCTTTTATATTTATGAAATTAAACTAATAAATGCATAAAAATACGATAAACATGTATTAGTTTGTTCAACTATATTTTACGGGAATATATCAAGAAAAAGACTGGAAAATTACAACCATTCATCAATGTACAATTTATAAACATTTCAAGGAGTACTTTGAAACTCCTTTGTGGTCCGATTTACTAGTAATCAGATTGCACTGAACAAATTCACTACACACCAATAAATCCCCCGGTTATATGTGCAGTTTATATTCTATTGTGAACGGAATGTATCCCATCGAAGCGACAAGGGTGGCAAATACCGACAAACTAATAAAACTTAACATCAATTCTCTGTAAGGACCAAAAATGCTTGGCCACGCACTATCATGGAATTTTATTTTATCAATATAATATTAAAGAGTGTCCTATATAAAGACTATAGGTGGGTAAATTTTGGACAGTGCTTCCTTGGTTTCCATAGCAACGGCCTTGAAATATTTTGCCATGGCAAAAATGACCTAATTGTCATCACCATGCAAAATAATTCCATGCTTCCTAAACGTAGAAAAGTTGAGAACGTAACATGGGTCTCACTTTATAGCGAATTAATCAAAGTTTCTTGGCATATAAATTTTATTCAATTTAACTCAAGGTTTTTAATGTAATACAGATCAATTTACACGAAGATTGTCATAAAATGAATACAAAGGTACCTATTTCTTCACGTGCATAGAAATTTTTGCAGGCAATATCAACTTATAAAAAAGGTTTTTTCAGTAAGATAGAACTTAGATCTAAAAGATAAAAAAAAGATTTGAGGTGGGTAAATCAGTTAAATGTTGTTTTCCATTCGCCTGAAATCATCACTTTTCATGAAAATTGATCGAGAGTTATTTCCCTTTGCTGACTCTTTTGCACTCAAGACAAAAAATGGTTGACTCTCTGGTCAAAAGAAGTTTCTAACAACATGTGGCAAAACAGACAGCAGGAAAATAAACAATGAGAAAATGATGTTTAAGGTGTGAGTGACAAAGTAAGTCATCAATCAATTAATGAAAATGAAAGAGACAGGTCTTGTGAAATATTGGAACAAAATTTATGAAGTCTGTCAGTGTCTAGAGGGAGTCCATCTATTCTAAAAACTCATACGTACATTATGATGCAAATGGAAGAAAACATTAAAAAGCAGTGGATACGGCCACCCGGAAATCAGTAGGAATGGATCTACCCTAAGCACAGGTAAAAAAAATGTAGAAAATTGTGTTTACTTAAGAAAGCAAATTAACTTACTCTTGAAAATCATGTAACTATTTATTAGGAGGAGAATGTAATAGAAGATGTAACTTAAGTTTGTGTGTATGAAATGAAAAATTAATATGTGTTTTCGGGTACAGACTACATTGTTGTTAAGTGTGTGTGTGTGTGTGTTTTATTGGGGGGTGGGGGGCTAAAAAATATTTACGGAAGTGTGTATAAATTAGAGACGAACGTAAACACATGCATATTATAAGGCTCTATTCAGTTTGACTGTGAAAAAAACACCATAATTTTTAATTAACTTCAGCAATATATACACACTTTAATAAAATACATGTATAAAAAAGATATGCCCTAGCTTGCAGGTATGTATTCATGCAAATTTATTTCATTTTAATAATTAATAATAAATTTATTTTTAGAAGTACCAATACAGTTCGAACTATGGAAATAAAGATGAAAAGATACATTGAGAATTCATTTTCAGTAAAAAGCAGGTGAGAATTTTTTTAAATATTAAATTTATCTGGTAAGGAAATAAACATTCGTCATAATTTAATGCTAATAAAATAAACATTCATCATAATTTAATGCTAATAACTACATGTACCACAGCAAAATTAAATCTTTTATTAATGTCATGATTTTTTCTTATAAAGTTTTGGGATGCAGTAATTAAGAAAAGAATCAAAATTGGTTGTAGAACCTACTATGATTGTATTGTCAGGGGCATAGCAACAGGGGGTATTTTCTCAACCTTTAAAACTTATACTACAGGAAATGTTAATTGAAAGCCTGGTTGCCCCCCCCCCCCCCCCCCACTTTCAGTGATGAACCGAAAATATAGTATTAGAATTGGTACTAAAAGTAGTTGACACTAAGAAAAAGTTAACCTATGTATTGAATATGTATTAAACTATTATGCAACTGTACTTGGATACATGTATCTATGAAATAGTATGAATATCCCTAACATACATAATGCATATAATATGTATGATTTATGCAAGAAAGTTGCATATAAGACCTGTAAATAACTATAAATAGAGGAACCCTAAATAGAAATACTAGTATCCAGTGTACAGCAATGAACTATATAGTTGCAAGTGATTAGGAAATAATCTTTGTTTTTATGTTTTTATTATCTTTTTTCAACACAAAGGTTATATACCAGAAACAGGAGGCAGTTACAAAATTAATAAACGAAGACAGAAAAATTGCAAGTGATCCTGCATGAGAACTGAACACCAGACAGTATTGTTACCAAACAGTATTCTTTTGGAGGGAATTCTGAAATTGAAGATCAGAAAGAAATTGGAGATCAGAAGTTTTTAGCTCACCTGAGCTGAAAGCTCAAGTGAGCTTTTCTGATCACATTTTGTCCGGGGTCCGTCTGTCTGTCCATCTGTCTGTCTGTAAACTTTTCACATTTTCGACTTCTTCTCAAGAAACGCTGGACCAATTTCAACCAAACTTGCCACAAAGTATCCTTGGGTGAAGGGGATTCAAGTTTTTTCAAATGAAGGGCCACGCCCTCATTCAAGGGGAGATAATTGGGAATAAATGAAAATTTGGTGGCATATTTTAAAAATCTTCTTCTCAAGAACCACTGTGCCAGGAAAGATGAAACTTATGGAGAAACATCCTCAGGTAGTGTAGATTTAAATTTGTTCAAATCATGACCCCCGGGGGTAGGGCGGGGCCACATTGGCAGACCAAAGTTTTACATAGAAATATATAGGAAAATTCTTTAAAAATCTTCTTATCAAGAATGACAAAGCCATAATTCATCATATTTATATGGAAGCATGCTCAGGTAGTGTAGATTCAAATTTGTTCAAATCATGACTCCCAGGGGTAGGGCGGGGCCAAAATGGCCTACCAAAGTTTTACATAGAAATATATAGGAAAATTCTTTAAAGATCTTCTCAAGAATGACAAAGCCATAATTCATCATATTTATAGGGAAGCATGCTCAGGTAGTGTAGATTCAAATTTGTTCAAATCATGACCCCCGGGGGTAGGGCGGGACCAAAATGGCCGACCAAAGTTTTACATAGAAATATATAGGAAATTTCTTTAAAAATCTTCTTCTCAAGAATGACAAAGCCATAATTCATCATATTTATGTGGAAGCATGCTCAGGTAGTGTAGATTCAAGTTTGTTCAAATCATGACCCCTCAGGGTAGGGCGGGACCAAAATGGCCGACCAAAGTTTTACATAGAAATATATAGGAAAATTCTTTAAAAATCTTCTTATCAAGAATGACAAAGCCATAATTCATCATATATATATGGAAGCATGCTCAGGTAGTGTAGATTCAAATTTGTTCAAATCATGACCCCCGGGGGTAGGGCGGGACCAAAATGGCCGACCAAAGTTTTACATAGAAATATATAGGAAATTTCTTTAAAAATCTTCTTCTCAAGAATGACAAAGCCATAATTCATCATATTTATGTGGAAGCATGCTCAGGTAGTGTAGATTCAAGTTTGTTCAAATCATGACCCCTCAGGGTAGGGCGGGACCAAAATGGCCGACCAAAGTTTTACATAGAAATATATAGGAAAATTCTTTAAAAATCTTCTTATCAAGAATGACAAAGCCATAATTCATCATATATATATGGAAGCATGCTCAGGTAGTGTAGATTCAAATTTGTTCAAATCATGACCCCCGGGGGTAGGGCGGGACCAAAATGGCCGACCAAAGTTTTACATAGAAATATATAGGAAATTTCTTTAAAAATCTTCTTCTCAAGAATGACAAAGCCATAATTCATCATATTTATGTGGAAGCATGCTCAGGTAGTGTAGATTCAAGTTTGTTCAAATCATGACCCCTCAGGGTAGGGCGGGACCAAAATGGCCGACCAAAGTTTTACATAGAAATATATAGGAAAATTCTTTAAAAATCTTCTTATCAAGAATGACAAAGCCATAATTCATCATATATATATGGAAGCATGCTCAGGTAGTGTAGATTCAAGTTTGTTCAATTCATGACCCCCGGGGGTAGGGCGGGGCCAAAATGGCCAACCAAAGTTTTACATAGAAATATATAGGAAAATTCTTTAAAAATCTTCTTCTCAAGAATGACAAAGCCATAATTCATCATATTTATATGGAAGCATGCTCAGGTAGTGTAGATTCAAGTTTGTTCAAATCATGACCCCCGGGGCTAGGGCGGGGCCAAAATGGCATATATAGGATCATATATAGGAAAATCATTTAAAAATCATTTTCTAAAAAATAGCAAATTCATGATTAGTCATGGGACTAATTTTGGATTTAAACTTTACAATAAAAAACATTTTCTACTTTTTCCTACCCTTAGTGCTCAGGTGAGCGATGTGGCCCATGGGCCTCTTGTTGAAGTTTGTGATGGTAAATTCACTAAATTGTTTAGGTTGCTTTTTTCTTCCATTGGTTATACTTAAAATATTTTTGAGGTATTTTTTCAAGGTGTAAATACTAACAATTGGTTTAGAATTAAATACATGATTGTGAAAAATATATCAATTTTGTTTTCACATGAAAAAATGTTGTAGATAAATAATGATTTAAATTAAGGTATAGATCGATGTATTTTTTTTTTATTCCAGGGAAAAAGTCGAAGATGATTACGGGTATTTCAAGTGTCACTTTTTAAACCCACTTTCTTCACTGGACAGCCATAAGACCAAATACAGCAAAACTCGTTTAGTACAAACATGGATATTGTGAATTTACGGATAAAGTGAAGCCATCTTGGATCCCCAACTATATAAATTTAAATTCCTTATACAACAGTCAGCATGACATAATAACAGACATTCCTTATACAGATATAACAAATTACGGATATAGCAAAGTAATTTTGAAGGTCCCCATGCCTTTGTTTTAACTAAGTTTAATTACTGTAACAGTAAACGTCTGATGTAAAAAAAAAGGTAACTTTAAGTCTAGCTGTTTCAACAAAATTGTTATATGACAGAATTTTTTTTAATTTTCTTTTTTATACATATTTTGACATATAGATACACATTTTAGATAGAAATTAGTGTCAATACTCTTTTTAATCTCAAAAAATACTATTTTATGTGAGAATTAAATTTCTGAGAGCACAAAGTCTTGTTTAATAGTGGGAAAATAATGTTCTCGTGAATAAAACTGATAAACAGAATACACATGAGTATGTGTATGTTTACAGATTGTTAGTGATATATTAATGATTTTTACAATGTGTTGTTAGTTTTATAGTCAATTTAAATTCAGCATCTGTTCTCCATTTTGTATCTAGTATTTGAAAATATTGATTACTGGGCAAAGCTCCTGTTAAAAGTTTTCAGTATGTTATTGGTGTTGCAAGGTCTTAAAGATGCATACTAGTATGTGCCAGTCTAGAATTTTCTTGTTTTTCCTCAAGATTAGCATTAATCCAATCTTAGAATCTTATTTTGCTTGGTTTCACTATGTAACTGTGGAAACCGTAAAAGTTATTTATAGAATGATTTAGCTAACACCTATTTCTTTGAGATCAAACACTTTTGTATTGTTTTCTTAAGTTGTTATTAAATTTTGGTCAAGTTACGCCTAGAATTAGTGAATACTTTGAATTTTTCAGTATTTAAATTGGCTTTCAAATATACCCATATTTACCACTGACTTACATGTACAAATAATTTTCTAAACATTTTCTGTGTAGCATAAAATTAAAACAAGGTGTGTAGTTTTTGTGAGAATAATTTGTTGGGTTTTTTTTTTAGATTTTATTTAATGTTCAGTAGAGATTTCAAGTAGCCAAAAGTCTCAATTTTTCAAAAATTTCTGGCTGTTTCCATAGCAACCAAGATACTTAGCAACCAAATTTTATTTGATAGTTTTATTTCTGGTATCAAGTAGTACTAATGGGGAAAGTTTCATCAGAATCAGTGCATGAAAAAGAAGTTTAATTGTTTATAGAAAATGGCTATCAAAGAGCTAATTTTTGCTAGATTTTGAGTTATCTGTCCTTTGTAAGGGATCATTGAGAAACAATAATAAAACAATTAATTTTGATTTATTTTAATTAATAGCTTAAAAAAAATTGAAACCATGTATTATTTATTTGATTTCTCATATTTATAAGAAAAAACTGTTTGGAAAAGAAATTTTATTAAACAACTAGTGTCTGGTAAAATTTTGAAAAAGAAACAAATTATTTGGCAAAATGCCAATTTTCGAAGTTAAAAATATTTTAAACGAATAAAATACCCACTCTACTTTTTATAAAAGTTGAATAACATTTTTATAGTGTTTTTAAAATTTCAGTTGATTTTTTCTAATAGTGCTTGCAATTCTCGATAGACCTCTTGAAAAACAGGGTAAAAATGTCCATTTTCGAAATGTTAGAATTTGGTCATCTTTGAGCCACCAATTGAAGAATTTGCTGTGACATTTAGAATTTTTTTTTATTTGTGTAATATATTGCTCCATATGTTCTGTTCATATAATGTATTATTTATCGTTTTAAAATAAAAATGATTATACCATATCAAATGAATTATATAGCATTTTTATGTGTGAAATGGGCATAAATGGGGCCAAAATCTATTTTTGTCCGTTACCATGGCAACCAAGGCGGTAACCTTAATTTTGAATGTTGATTATGTCATACTGTATGGGCATTAATCACCTGAAAAAGTTTCATTGAAATCGCCATTGGTGTGTGCCACAGCCCTACAGTAAGATTTTGGTCCTTACAGAGAATTGATGTTAAAAGTTGACTGAAAGAAAAAAAAAACGATGATAATAATAATATTGGTGTCTCATCATCAAGTATCAAACCCCTTCTGTTTTCGTTTGTTTCCCAATGAAATGTATGCAAAAAAGCAAATTTAAATAGAAAGGCATATCCACCACCTTTCCATTTCCCATTGTCTTGAGGAAACAGGGGCCCGTTTTACAAAAGAACTTACGACTAAGATAAAAAAATTTTGTTGATTATAAAATTTTGAAAAATTGATGATTGAGTTTAAGATTGCTATCACTAAAATATCTTTCTACACCCCTTTTAAAATGTTTAAAACCATTTTCAATTGAATTCAAATAAGAAAGCAGAATAAATAAATTTGGGTCTTAGTCGTAAGTTCTTTTGTAAGAAGGGCCTCAGGTCTATTCACAGCAGAGGATACACCCTGCATAATTGTTTATACCTTGTGAAAATAACAATTAGCTGCATTGTATAAACAATTGAAACATATCCCATTACAATTTCGTACGATGTAATTTAATCGTCAATCATGTAAACAAGAGAAAACAATCAAATGTTCTTATATCGATCAGATTATATAAATTTTAGTATATCGATAATAAATGAACCGTGTTACAGTGTATACGATAACTATTTATGCTGTTAAATAACCAAAAATCTTATCTACTGTATTTAAATTTAAACATTTTTACTTCAAAGATGGTAGAATAATTTAAATGAATATTATGCTACCTCCTCCATGCACCTGATCCCACCTCTGGTGTCTTGGAGGTCCGTGTTTTCTCTGCTCCAATTTTATATTGTTTAATGAACTTTTGAGCTTGAATACTATTCGTTATCTTCATATGTTTCATTACAAAGAATCACTTACCTGGAAGTATTTTGTCAACATTTTTTTCTTTTGTGAAGATAACTAGGGTCAACAAAATATGCGACCTTTAGTAATATTGCCGAAAAATCTATAGCACCTCCAACCCCCATCCACCCCCTTCTCACAAAAATACGTGTGTGTGTTAATCCTAAATTTTCAAGTCGTGTTACTTTAAAAGTATGTTGCTACATGTATACAAATGAACAAAGACTGGACCATATCATTAGTATCTAAACTGTTATCTTTTACAATTTTTCTATTGAAAACAACTTGTCTGCTTTTAGTAAAATAAAAACATATTTCGATCCTAGTACATGGCTTTCCTTTTGAATCCTCGCCAGCTCATTGTCAGGCAGATTTGAGAAGAGCTAGGGGCTAAATCAATGAATTTCCCTTCACATATTCCTTGTTTAAACTTTATAAACTTCAAAGGAATATGGCTTATTACAGGTCAGATGTGCTTGGTGTTTATGTAGTTTCATTTATATTAGTTGGTTGAAATCTACCGTTTCAGTGTCTCACTGTTGTTCTTGAGGAATTCAATGACCCATTGGATTTGTTCTCTCTGAAGTTTGGTTCTTGATGTGCTGCCACATTACCAACAGCAGCACACGTTGTTTTGAAAGGTGCATTGATTTGGTTCTTTTCGAATGATATAAGGAGATTACAAAGAGTTTTTAAGCTTAAAAGACAATTAAATATACCGGTATATAAATTTGAAGCTGAGCAAACAGGGTCCTTAAAAATGACGATTTTTGATCTCCTTTGTTTTATCAACTTGTTAATCATAGTTTTAAAAAAAAATGATGAAATAAGATTAAAAAAAAATTAAGTCACTACGACATTCAAAAGAACCATACATTTTTTAAGATTGTATGGCAAATAGGTACAGTAGCTGGAAAAGTGATAAACCAAGTTTGTATGCAAAAGTACTTAGTGACTTGTAGGTTATTTAAAAATATTCCTCAAGTATTTTTCATTCAACAGAATGGCAAGCTAATTCAAAACATTTTCTTTTATACTCCTTACCAGACGACAAGATTCAAACATGTTTTTTAAAATATTAAAAGGTGCATTCCATTACGTTACGTTCACCGATACATGACTTACCAAGTTTTGCTCTATTTACGACTTTACCATAATTAAACTTCCTTTATTTGAAGAAATCAAACGACGCAGTTTACCCGGCAATATTTATACTTTGAAAGACATGAGTGATTTCAAAGTTTATTGGATCTTGAGTATATTTTCTGTTGTATCTTCAGATAGTAAGTTTAAATTTGATTTTGTTTTTAAAACATCTAGACTGGGTTTTATAACTGTAAACACCTTATTAACTATTTGGAATGTCTCTTTATTGAAGGTCAGATTCTTTTAAATAGCTAACTCCCAGTATTAAACAACATAAATTATCGTCCCATTTATCCATTTATAAACAATACATTCTGATATGTATGTCATACGTTTCATAATACATACCATGTTAACAGAAAATATAAAAGAAAAATAAACAAGTTTCACGGTGCACATATTGTCGATCAGGAGTTGAACAAGTGTACGATAAGCATTTCAAAAAGGACAATTCTTTTCATATTGTTTGAAAAGTTTGAATACCATCAATATGCATTGTTAAAAGCTTAAATCCGAGAGTTTTAAATTGTTATATGCTGTACTAAAAATCAGCCTACAAAAAAGATAACTGTTATTAATAGCGCATACATTTATCGTTTTCCGCCTCTTCTACTCTTCTACTTATTAAACAATAATAATTAAAAGCAAAAATGTAAAATGCATCTCTGTTTCGAAATAACTTTTATCTATATTAGATGTAGATGTCCTTCTCTAATAACCTATTACAGCTAAATTTAAGTTTGATTGCACAGTCGATAAAAAAAGATCAAAATTGCCATTTCTCTCAGACCAAACCTTTCTTTTTAATAAAAATTTTCACATACATTATTGTAATCGTTATCCATCTTTTGAAGTAGAATTAAAGGAGTTAGGTAGAAGAAACTTATTTCCAGAACCTCTCGTACATTTTACACTGTAGAATGTTCATCTTTTGGAATAAGATTAAACATACGCGTATCCTGTAGTAATGCCTTAAAGCATTGAAATTATAAAAATAAACCACAGAGGCCATAAGGGATTGAAAAACTACCTTTTTTCTACGAGAATCTTTTGTCCAGAATTCTTCATTTCCTTTATAAATATAAACCTACCTTTTGGAGTTTGATTGATTTCGCAATGCTTTAGAATTTATTTATTTTTTATGCAGAAGGACAGTTCGGGGTGTAAAAGAATTTTATTTTAGAAGGTTGTTCCCCAATCCTATTTTTACATTATTCAATGGCTAAATCATCATTTAGAATATGAATGTTGTACTCTGTAGATGAGACTTATTTTATCCTAGAAGCCAATCACGGGCTGAAATCTTTTATACATAAAAACCGCCTTTCCAATATTGCTTTTAAAACAGAATGTATACTCAATTATTTTTTATATATAATTTTGAATTGGATTTATTATATGAATTATTAATTTCAGAGTATAATGAATGCATGAAATATAAAGATGATGAACAGCAATTACCGGTATGCTAAAAATTCATTTAAACAATACAAATCAGAAGCAACATAAACACAGAGCTTTAAAAACATCAGAAGCAGGATCAGAAGCCATGGAGTGCAAATATGTAAATAATGGTCTAACATGAAAAACGTCAGTCAGCATGACATAATGATAGACTGTACTTACTGAAAAGGTCATTGTATCAACTACAGAATAATGACTTTAAAAGAGACTGTTGGTATTCTTGTTTCTCCAACTTGTTTGTCAATAGCTTGCCTCGCTATAAAAAGTGTTTGCATGTAGATCCATGTTCTTGTGTATCTAGTCAATGGGAGACATAAATCCCATGTGCAGATGATTAAAGTATATTTACTACATAAGTAAGCAAAGTTGACAATAGAAAAGCTCAGGTCAACAAGTTTTTATGGCACGCCAAATTCACAAAAATAAGCTTAACATAGTTTCACAGTCGATAAACTAGGTTTATCGGTTGTAAACTATATAATAATTTACGGACTGTAAACTATAGTTAACAATGTTAATCTATATTTTACATCTGTAAACTATAATTAACGCGATAATCTATGTTTCAGAACCGTAAACTATACTTAACATTGAAAACAATCATTTGCGATTGCAAAACATAGATTACTGTAAAGTCATATATTTTCGAGGGGTCAAATTTTCGTGGTTTGAGGAAAATCTCTTGGTTCGTGGGGATTTGACTTCGTAGATGAAGAATTGTTGAGCAGTTATGTATGTTACATTTTACATTTCGTGGCGGACACGAATTCGTCGGTATCTTCATACCTCGAGAACAACGAAAATTAAACCCCAACGAAAATTTGTGATTTCACAGTATCTGATAAATACAGTTTCACGATTTGTAAACTATGGTTTACAGCTCTTAACTATAGTTAACGATCTGATAAATAAAGTTTCATGATTAACAAAAGTACTCATAACGGTTGTAAATTATAGTTTACAGACGTGAATCAATGTTTATCAACAAAATCTATTGTTGACGTTTTATTACAGACAGATAAACTTAGACTAGCATCCGTAAATTTTAGTTGACAACCGTTAAATACAGTTTTACAGATGAAAACTATAGTTAACGAATTGTCAGCTATAGTTCACCGTTTGTAAACTATAGTTTGATTTACAGTCGATAAACCTAGTTTATCAACTGTGAAAGTATGTTTAGCTCATTTTTTGTGAATTTGGCGTGCCATAAGTTTTGTTGTTAACTAGTCCGCCAATAACGTGTTTTTATAAATTATAAAATGCATAAATATGAAAAACATATCTAAATTTGTGGCAATTCTATTTTAAGCTCAGTTGGATGCATCATGCATGTAGACATATGAATAATAGAAACCATTGGTAATCAATAATACGTCGTCAATATATCTAAATGTTGATGGCCACCGGGTTTTTTTTCTTCATGTTTAAGGTTTTAAACACACTCTGCTTCATATGAATATAAAAATAGGTCTGCTTATAACGGGATGCATTATTGTTACACTTATCTAAATATAGACTACTACTGTAGCTTCTTTGCTAGTTAAACAGGTGCAAAAGAAAGTATATTTAGAGGCAAAGTTAACTTGGAGGTACACGGTATTTTATTCAGCCCTGAGGACCGGGCTGCTCTATACATATAAGTTTAAGTGTTGGTGTATGGGGATTGGGGTGGGAAAAGTTACCGGGTATTCAGAATGAAAGATTTTCTAAACATTAAAAAGATTGTAAATCAGAATGTTCTTTCCCTTTATGAATTAAGAGATACATAATATATTTACTTCCATAAAGTGAATTTGTAAAAATATTAAGATTTTGATTTTTAATATATAAAGTTGCTTATCATTTACTATCGAAAAAACGACAGGTCCCTTTTTCAGAACATCGAATTTTTCTTGTCGCATACTCTACACAGTTCGTGTTTTATATTCTTTAAGTACGTTTTTGAAAATAGGTGATGAATGACTCTAATTTCAAGTTATATTCTATGCAGCCAACATTTACTTCAGGGATTGATAAAGTTTAAATGGTATCGATTTTGTTCTATTTTCATCCGACTATAAGTTTTCAAAATATTCTCGACTATCGTCTCCATCATTAAGAAGCATGCCTTTTTCACACATATCGAAGCGGTTTGATGATCAAGACCCATTTCCATTGTTTACTTTATTTATTTCCAGGGCGACAATTGATGGTTACATCAATGTTTACTTGTGCTTTCCGACGATAGCTAGTTAGATTTGCATGTTTGTACAATGACTAATAATAAATAATCAATAGAAATGATCAAATTCTCATATTAAAGGAAAAGACAATAGGAGTGTGGTTCTGTATTTCAACGAGGAGAAAAATAGTTCAAATGTATCATAAATCTTTAAAATACATTTTACATGAATAAATTCAAAGTATAAACGTTAATATTACAAACACCTAGAAAGACATTATTTCCATAAAAAATTACAGATAATTGACAAAAAGTGAATCATAAAGCTTGCAGAGTATAACTTAAAATAACGTATTTCGGTCGTTATCTTTATTTTTTTTCTCAAGCATAGATATAATGAATGAATTCAACTAAAAATTTCCGAGTTCATACCCACTGGAGAGAGAGAATTCTCGTTTATTTGAATGAAATACAGACTGCAGCATTCATGATTCAGGTGTTTAATGCACGATTCTGTTATTTATACACACCAAGCACACATTACGAATAAAAGTAAAAGCGTATTCCGTTTAGACGATATATGCACTGAAGGAAAAGATTGTTTAAATAAAAGAAAAATAGAGTGTGTAAAGTGTAATTCTTGAGATTCAACATAGGGTAGCATGCCTTTAACCCCAAGAAAATTTTTCAAAGATAATGAAGTAAACGAATGTTACAAATAAAATTTTAAAAAAACATTTAAATTATGTTAACTCTAAATCAAAATGCAGATTATTCTATCTGTATTAAAAACTACAAAAGTGTGCAACGTACTAAAAGCCCTTCTGTTAAAAAATAGATAATAGTTCCAGAATTAAAATGCAAAAGAAAAATGCTATATATTTCCATTTCCAATTGTTTTCTCTGTGATAAACAATACAAAAGTCCATCTTGTTAATTTCTTTGTAATACCTGTGGTATGTATATTTATCTATTGAAATACTACTGAAAGGTCAAATGTTAACCTGCATGTATATGAGTGGCGTATAAATACACTGAAGAAATTTTTTTTTGTTTAATTGTTTACTAAGTAATTAGATATGATATGTCTTAAAAACAAATTAAAATACAGCATGAATTATCTTCGGATCAAAAGCAAGTTGCTAGCGAAACGATGTTCATTAACAGCGAGGCCGAAAACTCCACTTCCGTAAACAACCCATCTGAAGCACATGGAGAAATCGCCACAGCCACACACAAAACATCATTTGATTCAGGCATCCGTCCCTCAGTTATAACCATCCGACTTCGTAAGCAACATAACTTCCTCTGCTATTTTAACATCCACACAAATCGCTTTCCTGACCAACCCCCGTTTCATCAACTGCAACAATGCATTCAATATGGCGGCGGTGAAGTGACCTAGGTCCTATAAACGTGTTTGCTTACGACAACCTAAATCTATGTCACATATATAATTTAAAGTAACAAGATTGCTTTAATCATAATTTAAAATTCTTTTGTTGTTTATTTCATATATGTTGATATATGACTACAGTAACTAAACATTCATTAAATTTGTTTCGTGTTTTATGGGACTATTTTTTTATTGTAAAATTTGACGTCATGGGACGGGTCAATGGAAAATAACACGGAATGCATCGTGCATTTCAAATCTACTAAATTAGACGGTGATTCCTTAAATATTGAATACAGTTACACGTATTTATGCTTAAATTATATATTTTTCTTAAAATATTTTTTTATTTATTAGAATATTTGTTATATTGCAGCTATTCCATCATCAGTCCCGAATCTTTATCCCTCCTACGGCATGCAAGTTGATTCTTACAGTAATAGATACACAAGGCATATTTATGAGGGCGATTTAATGAAATTCGAATGTTATTTGTCTTCATTGGGGGATCCACCTATTACATGGACATGGTATTGTGGAGAAGAAGTGATGAAAAACGTTACATTTTCAAGCAACTACTTGCATACATACATGAATTTCACTGCTACACGGAAACACGACAAAAAACCTTGCTACTGCAGAGCAAAATCACCTTCTACTATTTTATTCTACGATGAAACCTCTCGGTATCGATACAAGATGCGTGTATATCGTAAGGATAGAATTTATATAAATTCTTATCATTTTGAAATATCTTTTTTCTATTTTTAGCAATTTCTTCTTGATGATTTTTTTTAAATATTGTTCTATACATCATTGTATTTAACCACTAAAAATTCTGAATTGTACACCTTTCGATAAAACAACCTAGTATAACACTTACACTTGGTGATTTAATGTTGACTTTTCTAAGATTCACCTTGGACACGTCCCCGAATTTATACATTGTCTCCTAGAAGTGTACAGAACGGTGAATACATTCACATCAAGTGTATTCTCACAACACTGGGATATCCACAAATATCCTGGAAATGGTTCTGTGGTGAAGAGCCTCCCCAGAATGGGGTGGAAGTAGGAACAGAGACATACTTAGCATTCAAAGCGTCTCCATCTCATGACGGAATGGTTTGCAGATGTAGAGGAATATCATCCTCTTCTTCTTACTATACATATGACGAGGTATCAGACCCTGTGACGATCACCGTTTTATGTAAGATTTATTGAGCTTACCTGATATTTTTCTAAATAGTTTTTGTATTTAATAAATAGCACAAGGCTAGTATTTATCTAATCTATTATCTGACCCTATAACAAATTTTCTAGACTCGTGGACATCAGCTTAACATAGGTCTTAGTTCTCGTTCGTGACCCTTCAAGTACCATAAGCCCTCAATATTATTATAGCATAAAATGAATTTAATCTTGTACTATTTTTAATTGAATTGTTTTCCTCTCTAAAATACGGATGGCATTAGACAAGAGAAATTAAAAAAAATCTTCATTAGAATATCTGGTTCTAACAGATATTGTTCAAGGGAGGCATTTATAAAATAGTGATTTTAAAAGGATATTGCATTAAACTGAAATGGATCATGTGTTGTCCATTTCTGAAGCATTATTTGAAAAAGACCCAAAACTTATAATACAAAATATTTTTGTTTAGCTACGACCAAAGAAGAATCTGACTGCATATCATCTGCAGCTTTTGGAACAACTACCGGGATACTGGTGGTTGTTATATTAGCGTTAGTCTCCATCTTAATATTACAGTATATCAGAGTAAAGAAAGAAGGTTTCTGCTCCTGTGAAAATTTTGGTTAGTGCTAAAGAAAAAGAAATCAAAATTTAGTAAAAATTCATATTTCTCAAAACTGATAAAATAGAATAGTTTGCTTTGCATCTTTTTTGAATATAAAATTTGATAACTTCATTTATCGTGAATAAAAATTTATTATACAATGTTGTACATTATAGAAAAAATTTGATGTAATGTAATGAACAAACTACTTTTCTGAAATTTATTCAACGATGAAATTTCAGGGAAGGCAATAGAAGGAAAAACAAGGTATGTCTAATTTCATCTGCTTGTCTTTTTTGTATTTAAAAATCTCAAAAGACAATTTAAATACTTATTTATTAATTGAGAGAATTGATTTTTGAAAAACATTTTTTTTCATTTTAGTGAAAACAGCGGTGAACAAAATCCTACATATATCAACGATCAATCCTACGAAGTACTGGAAATTAACAGAGAGAGGTAATATTCTACATGGCATTGTGTTATGGAATTACATAAGAAAGATACCGATATATATATATATATATATATATATATATATATATATATATATATATATATATATATATATATATATATATATATATATATATATATAAATCAAAATTAAATCCAAGATAAACAAACAAGTTTACGTTTAATTTTTTACACTAAGCGCTTTCGCCGTTACGGCTCTTCAGAGTGTAACCGTAAAATATATATATAAAGCATTCTAGATCAGGATTAAGTTATGGTTTCTTAATTCTTTATTCAATATTATGAATAAATGATATAAGGATGATTTATTAAAATCAAGATCAAAATATTTCTTATGCATTAAAATTTCCATTTTAATGTATAATGTAGAACCTGTTATATTCATTACGATGAATTAAAACAACAACTTCTTTTGTTTTCTACTAATTATCAATATTCAATTGTCAACGAGTACATATGACTCATTGATTGTTTTTTACTTAGTGAAAGAAATTTTGTATTCTTTTTTTTCAGACTCTAGACAAATCTCAGGTAAGAATTGTTTTCTAACTGAATTTGATTTGTATTTGTTTTTATGGTTCTGCAATGATTTTATTTTTTTCTTCAGAACCTTGGATTTCAGAAGATTATGGTACTTCAGTTGTGATACATTGTCTTGACATTTCTTAATTTGCCCAATATATGCATATTTTTACTCTGTGGATAATTTTGAAAATTATGTTTTGTGTACAGATTACTAACATGAAAACCATTAATCGTTTTTACTATGTGTTAAGTTTTTTCACAAAAGTATGCTTATAGAGCAGATTTTGTTAATAATATTGATGGTGATATTTGTTTTTATAAAGTTTGCAGCTAATTCATAAATAAAATGTATCTACTAATAATATATAACAAAAATTTTATGTTTAGATAAACTATGTAATGAATTTCACAAAACTGTTTAAATAAGTTTTCATTTCAATTAGTACTTCAATTGAAGTAAATTAAAATCTGCAATTTGATAAGATTACACATCATCGACGTAATAAAAACACATACTGTGTATATAAAGCCAGTTGCAATAAATCACATAAGTTTCCCAAAGAAAGCATAATTTTAAATATTCTGGCGCAAAAGTCAAAGAAAAAATACATAATCACATCTTTTTACAACTACTCTACCAAGCTGTAAATGCAGTAAATGCAAAATATATTACAGAATTTGTCCAATATCTTATGCATGTAAAGAAGAAAACACTTGCTGTGGACTTTAACTCGACATTTAGATATGTATCGACGACGTATTGTCAATTAAGATATATCCTTGAGATAAAAGATACTAGTACCACAGAGTCAGACACATCTGTTTCATATTTGGATATCTCACTTGAAAAAGACGTCAATGGTAATCAAAAACCAAGCTTTATGATAAACGTGATGATTTTAACTTTTCAATCATTAACTGCCCTTCCTTATGCAGCAATATACCTTCATTACCTGCATACGGAGTTAATATATCTCAGCTGATTCGATTCCGATTCGCAAAAGCATGCTTTCGATACGTATGAACAAAATCTAAAACGAGGTAAACTATTGATTAACAGGTTGATGAAGAATATCAGCAGTCTCTTTTACAGTCATCATTTTGTAAGTTCTATTTTCGATACAATTACCTTGTCAGCAAATACAATTTCTTATTGAGTCAAATGCTGACTGACTTTTTCATACTAATTGTTAGTCCATTTTTCAAACACTGAATTAACGACGGATTTTTCTGTTATTTCCCAACCATTACAAGGAGCACAACGTGGATGTGAACGATCGGCAGGGAATGTTCACTCCTCCATGGCACCTGATTTCATCTCTGATATTTTGGAGGTCCGTGTATGCTCTGCTCCTATTTTGTATTGTTTAAGGGACTTTTGATGTAGAATACTGTTCGGAAAATCTTGCAATTGTACTATGATATTTTAAAAATCATGTAGTAAAATTTCAAATGTTTCTATTAAAAAAAAGGACGAAATTTAACTCTAGAACACGACTTGTCCAGACTTTAATTATTAATTTTTATTGCAATAGCCATAATATTTTAATATCACTTGGTGGGATTTCTTAGCAGTATCCCAGGGTGTCATGTTGAACTCACAAATATTTCCTCTTCTAAAGATATGAATCATAAAACTCATCATCCTATACGATTTGCAGTCCCACTTACTATCCCACCATTTTCCCATGGAGAAAAAATGTCAGATGGGGTATTTTCATCCATTGCGATTTTTCTCCCATGAATTTGTTCAAATACAATAAATCCCACGGATATTGACAATCAGACATTTTCTTCTATATATCGTGAATCATGGAATATATCCCGTAAGATATGACAATAACAAATCACTAACCATTAGCTATAGAATATATTCCACGGTAATCAATGTATTAGAGAAAAATCTGAGTTTAAGGACTTCATAACTTCAAAAGAGGAAATATTTGTGAGTTCAACATGAGACCACGGAATACTGCTAAGAAATTCCATCAAGTAATTTAAAAATATTTTGGATATCACAATAAGAAATGGTAGTAAACAGTCTGGACAATGTCATGTCTGGAGTTTAATGTCGTATTGATTTACGTTTATTATATTTATAAATATACATTTTAAAGGCGAATGAAAATTTTACTTTAATCTAAGTCTGTTTCATGATCCCGGGGCCAGACGAAGGTGAAGAGACTTTACTTTGGCTTAATTTTAAATGAACATTATAGAAAGACAGAGAGAAGCAAAAAATAAAGAAAGGAATGAGCAAGGACAATAACTAGTTTTACATCCAACTCTTTTCAACTTACATCGAGACTTTTTGGCAGCAAATGGCCAGGAACATTAAAGCTGGAAAAGAGAAAAGTCGAAGAATAACGATATGCACACTGAGCCACGGGGAGCTGAAAATTTAGGCAAGTATGAAAAAATGATTCAACCAAAGTAGCCCTATCATTCATTCGATTAATCGGCACCAACACTGCGAGTTGTCAAAGATGCTATCAGAAGGACTCAAGTGGCATCTCCTGGACCAAACGGAATCCCTTACAAGAAGTGTGGGTAGTTAACACATTTATGGAAATATCTGAGAGACATGTAGATAAGAGGGCAAAAAAGAAAAGAAGAAAAAATTGACACTAAGAGGAGGAATGTTTCATATCAATGGAGAATACTAGTAATTCAAAGACACTTAATTACGCAGTTTTGTATCATCTCACTGTTGACCATTGAAAGGAAATTTAGCTTTTTGACTAAGAGGATCACGACATAACATGATATTTAATACTAAGGGACAGGGGTATTGAGATATTGGTATGCATTAAAAAAGAGTCAAAGGTTTTAATGATCGTATAGTTAAGTTTTTCAGCAACAAGTTAAGAGAGGCAAAAGGAATTTAAAAATGCCAATGCTTACGGTTCCATACTTAGTTTATACAATCTGTAAGAAAGGCTTACTAGTTAGGATTTCACAACAGCGTGGCAGTAGTCAAAATTTGGGATTGTCTCAGGCTATTCAGAATTGGTAATGTTGTCCTCTACAAGCATAAGTTTTATGTTATCGAAATCGGTAAAAAAAAAATGATCAGAGGTCCATGAATGAGGCGTAATTAAGTAAAGACCATCTCCTGTGAGAAGATGTGTAAACAATGTGATTTAACAGTTGGCACAAAGACCAACATAGTGAAAATATGGACGTTACAAGAAAATATTTATATCCACTGATTTTTTTCCCTTTATTTCTTATGAAGACCATTGCCATTCATCAGTGCAAGAACAACAACGAGCAAGCCACATGTAGTTTCCTTGAACAATGGCTGTTCCATCAATTTTACATACAATGACATATTCATTAAAAAAAACAAAAAGTAACAAATTTTTTTTTACTTTGAAATAAGATTAAAAATACGATAGTAATGCCTTAAAGCATTGAAATTATAAAAATAAACCACAGAGGCCATAAGGGGTTGAAAAACTACTTTTTTTCTACGAGAATTTGGTGTCCAGAATTCTTCTTTTATTTTAAGTATAAAGTAAGTATAAACCTATCTTTTGGAGTTTGATCGATTTCGCAATGCTTTAGAATTCATTTATTTTTTATGCAGAAGGACAGTTCGGGGTGTAAAAGAATTTTATTCTAAAGAACAAAATCTAGGCTGTCCACTTTCTTGCAGAATGCACTTGAACTTCTACAGTTATGGCCTATTTGGTCCTGTTTTGGTTTACTGGTCTTACTTTTTCTTTATTCATCTTATATGGTAAATCCTTTGATGAAAAAATAATGAAAATAATTATTTTCCTAGGAACATGATCAAAAGGAAAATTCATTTCATTTATACACAGACATTTTCATGTGTGTGGTCATCTTACCAGTAGTGAATATTTGCCTGAGTATCAAATAATTTGTTTAGAATATTACAAAACAGGCTGCATTTCATTTCCGGAATTTTGAGTAATTATCAACTTTTCATTTCCGACATTTTTAAGTTTTCATTTCCGACATTTTTTTGTTTTCATTTCCGACATTTTTCAAATACACATGTGGTACCTGTAGTAACAAATATGAAAACTTTACTTGTGAAAATTTAAAGGAATAAATCATAAATAATTCATTGAAATCCAATTTTGTAAATCTATAAGTGACTTGGACATAGGTATAGTGCTGTCACTGACATTTAATTTTGTGCACATTAACTGTGGTGAAAACGTTTTATGCTCATGGAAGTCTTTTACCTAGACTTATTGCTACATGTATGCATATATTTTTAGATTTTTAAACAAAAATTATTAATATTTTGGTATAAATACTTTTAAAATTCAATTTTCTTTTACATAGAAATCATTGAATTGCCGCACAGGTAAATTCCGGAAATGAAAAAAAATACATGGTGAGTGTTTATAAAACAAATATCATTAGAAATCAGAGGTGAATATTCTACATGTATGTAGTTGTATTAAATTATGTTTTTACACTAATAAATATGTACAAGTGTACATATATATTTTTTACTGTTTGCTATTTGAAAAGATTATTATACACACAAAATTGAACTATAGATTACACAGTATTGGTACTTCACAGATGAATGAAAGAGTCTATATAAACAAAAATAACTCAATAAATATTTCCAGTGCATTCTTAACCTAGATCTATTATGTCAATACATGTAGTACAATTTTGGATATATATATGATAAATTTAAAGTTTAAATGATAGAAGCTTTTAAATAAAACAGTATTTTGAGATTCTGACCGAGGTTACAGTTAGGTAGTGGGCCTCATGAAAGCATGTAAACTATAACATTGATTGTATTTCATATGGTCTTGTAGATTAATCGAGAATGAATCTGGACACAGGGCTCTTGAGATAATCAAACATTGTTCCGAACACAATCGGGTTTACAAGCAAGACTATCTGATATATGTCCTCGCAATGTGCTGCAGGTCTGAATGATGATCGCAAGACGAAAAGAGCGGGTTATGAGTTGATGCCATTTGTGTGTAGAATACCGACTCATCTGTTCAAATTCATTGAGTACTGCAAAACTATCAGTAACAAGCTTTATGGATCTTCTGGATGGGGGAGAGGTCACTGCAAGGCAATATGTTAATGGTATCTGAGTTATGGAGCAAAAGAAGAGAACCTTTTGCTTTTGGTGTATCATTTGACAAAATATTCCAAACGGAAGGGGTGGATTCACAGAGATGTTATTTGCCTCGCTCATCTTAAAGTAAAAGAAGACAACTTTGCTTTGAAATATCTCTTCAGGGTTGCTGTGATAGGAAAGAAGAAAGCCGATGAGCGTTATTTC